CGACTTTGAGACCTTTTTCATTTGAAAAGTTTACGACGAGAGAAGGAATGATAGAAGGGTGTGTGTGTGTGTGTTTGAAAAAGGCAGTAGTTCTATGGATTGTATAATTCATCAATGACTGTTTTATCATAAAGTGATTCTAAATATGACATTTAGAGGGTTCTAGGTTTTTATAGACTTTTTTTTTTATTGCTCCATATTTAGCTTTTTCCTGAAACCAAGTACCTCTGGTGACAGTTTACAAAGTGGCAGCATTCCATTGGCAAATGAACCTTCAGAGCACAAACCTGTATCTAGTTCAGCAGAACCTGACTTGATCAATTTTATGGATTTCCCAAAGCAAAACCAGACCATAACTGAAGAAACCACCTCCGCAACTGAATCAAGGTACCATAGGGTACAGAGAAGTCTGCATTATAAATTGGGTACCCTTATTAAAATTCCATCTTTAAAGATAACCTGATGCATGTAGGCATAAGTTCTGGCATTTTAAAAATTCAATCTTAACTTTTTTCTATGATATATTGTTTAAGTATCTAATGAAAGAATGTGATAACCATTTTTGAAATTATGTTTAATGTTTTACAGTGTTCTTTTACAAAATGAACTTCTCAAGCGTATGAAGTATTTTTCCCTTTTAGGTTAGTCATTGCCAGTTTCCAGAGACATATTCTCTTTACTGTGAAATATACTGCTTCCTCTTAAATACTGATTGAATCAAATATTGAGAACCTGTTGTATGCTGAGCATTATGCTAAGCACTAAAAATAAAAAAGATCTGGTTTCTATCCTTAGGTGGATCATGGCCTGGTAGAGGTTAACTACTTACCAAATAGTTGCATAATTCTAGGTGATTTTGTTTAATAAAGATGAAATAATGTTTGAATAAAGCAACTGAATGGGCACTTCGTCTTTTAAAAAGACTATTATTTACCCTTTGTCTTCTTCCTGCCCTTCACCGGAGTCATCCACTCCATCCTGTTCTTCTGACTCCCTTAACAAAATGCCTGAAGGAAATGTCAAATCTTATAAGGTGGGACTGATTCTTCTCCAGTACATTCAGTAGACTCAAAATTTGTTGTAGAAAATACTCTAGCTGGACAGGTTTAGATTGTGTTACAGCACAAATACAACATTTCTTCATTTTTTTTAAAGTGATGAAATAAAGAGAGCCAGTGGAGAAGTCCAAACTATGAAAATTTCACCTGCGCCTAATAGTTTATCAAAGCGAAATGTATCTTTGACTCGAAGTCACAGTGTTGGAGGTCCCTTGCAAAATATTGACTTTTCCCAGCGACCGTTTCATGGCATTTCAACAGTCAGTCTCCCAAACAGTCTGCAGGAAGTTGTGGTATGTAACAAGATTATAATTATCTGTGTATTCATGTAAGTATTTATTAGAGCAACACATAATCCACAAGTGATAAAAATTTTTCATAAGCAGACTAAGAATTTTTTAAAATTTCAAGTATGTACAAAACTAACCAGAAGAGTATAATGAGTTCCTTTGACCTGCCATCTGGCTTCAGTAATTTTCACCTTAGGGCCATTCTTCTTTCATGTATACCATTACTCACTTCTTTCCTAGATTCTTCTGAAGCAAACTTCAAACATCGTATATTCCAATTGTAAATATTTCAGTATACTACGTAGTTCCTAAGAGATAAGGACTCTTAAAAATACAATGCCATTATATGACTAAAAAAATATCAAATTATTCAATCTTTGTTCAAATTTCTAATGGTTTAAAAAATGTCAAGTTTGTGTGTGCTTTGTAGTTTGAAGAATGATCAGATAATATCTATGCATTGCAATTGGTTGATCTGTTTAGTCTTTTTTTTTTTAAGATTTATTTATTTGACAGAGACAGAGCTAAAGAAGGGAACACAAGCAGGGGGAGTGGGAGAGGGAGAAGCAAGCTTCCCGCCAAGCAGGGAGCCCAGTGTGGGGCTCTATCCCAGGACTCTGGGATCATGACCTGAGTCGAAGGCAGTCGCTTAATGACTGAGCCATCCAGGCGCCCTTGTTTTTTTAGTCTTTTTAAATCTGTATGCCCTTCCTTTAACCTTGCAACTTATTTGTTGATTACAATCATATAAATTGGTAATTGTATCTAGAAGCTTGATCAGATTCAGGTTTTTGTTTTGTGGTTTTATTTTTGTAAGACAATAGCAGTGGTGGGATGTCCCTCAATAAAAGACATGAACTTTCTTTGTGATGCTAGTAGCTATTAATGCCTCAATAATGCCCAGATCAGGTTATTCATTTCCAGCTATAAAGGGTGATAGTCTAATTGTCTTTATTATATGGGGTACATCTATAAAGAGAAACTTGCCCCATATTTTGTTTGCTTTTCCAAAGACACAGTTTATTTTGGAAAGGTAGGGTAACTGATTTTTTCCTTTTATTTACCAATTTTCAAAATAACAAGTTGGGTTCCTAGCATTCTCCCAGGTGATCAATTAATTTGGAGGAATAGGGTATCATTATGAACTCATTGATTTAAACATTTGTGTTTACATTCATTGCTGTTGTTATCCTTATTAATACTTACATTATCCCATCTTTGATCAGCTAGAAGCCTCTACATATTGGTGCCTTAGTCCCTTTGACACAATTCTAGTAGCCTTTTTATAAATTTTTTTAAAGCTTCCTTGCTTTCTTATATGATAATATGTTTCATGCTCATGTGATATATTTCTTTCTCTAGACCTAGAATCAGTCATTTCTCTAAGAAACACTGTTCTTTGTAGAGGAGATGGTATTTGGAGACCTCAGCCTGGGCAGTAGGGGTACTCAATGAGTTGGTCATAAGCGTTTTAGTCTGATTATATAATATGCACAACTTATAAAGACTAAATTGGATTTTTTTTTTTTTTAACGATTTTATTTATTTGACAGAGACACAGTGAGAGAGGGAACACAAGCAGGGGGAGTGGGAGGGAGAAGCAGGCTTCCCGCCGAGCAGGGAGCCTGATGCGGGGCTTGATCCCAGGATCCTGGGACCACGACCAGAGCTGAAGGCAGCCGCTTAATGACTGAGCCACCCAGGCGCCCCTAAATTGGATTCTTTTGTACAACTGCTCTTTAACTACTGTAGTTTTTGTTGTAATCAAATGTAAAAACAAGCTTTTACAAGTAGATATAATTGTAAAAGGAGTCATCAAGTACTAACACAAAGATTGCTCCATCTGTTTAGAGTTTTAGAAAGAAGATAAAGTCTACTTTTTGGGGGAAATCATTATAAAACATCTGAAATGTAGTGTTTCTTATAAAAATAGAGAAACTCTCAACGTTTAAAACAGAGTCTGTTATATGGATTAATTTTCTTTTGTAATCCTTTAACTTAAGGGCATTTTTTAACTTAAGGGCATTTAAGTATTTTTTTCTTTTTTTAGGTTTTCATTAGGGTATACTGCATGTAGCACTGGTTCTGAAATCACTGATTTTGAAAGGATAGATAAAGCATAATCTCACTGAGAAGTACTCTTAAACATACAGAATAGATAATACTCGTTTCTTCCTTATTTTTATTTTTTAAAGGATCCTTTAGGAAAAAGACCCAATCCTCCCCCTGTTTCTGTGCCCTACTTGAGTCCTCTAGTGCTTCGTAAAGAACTTGAATCTTTGCTAGAAAATGAAGGTGATCAAGTGATTCACACATCCTCTTTCATCAATCAACATCCAATCATTTTCTGGAACCTCGTTTGGTATTTCAGACGTTTGGACCTTGCTAGTAACTTGCCAGGACTCATCCTCACATCCGAACATTGTAATGGAGGTGTACAGGTAGGGTACCGACCTGCATACTTACACTACACTGGGGTTGGTTGGAGTGAGGCTTAACTTCAAGTAACCGAGTATACAACAACAATGCTTTAACAAGATGTATGTTACTTCTCTCTCACATAAAAGTTTGGGTTAAGTGGTCCTGGAATGGTAAAATGTTAGGTACGTGAGATCCTTCTGTCTTTTTGGTCAGCTGTGCATAACCTCTATTTCCAAGTTCTGTACCTGGGTTCAGGATGGCTGCTCTATTTCCAACCATCACATCCACATGCCAGCCAGCAGTAAGGATAAAAATGGATGGAGAAGAGTACGTCTTCTTTCTCTAGGGATAGTTCCTAGAGTGGCACGTAACATTTATTTATGTATCTGTTTGGCCTGAATTCAGTTATATGGTTATATCTAGTTGCGAGGGTGGCTAGAAAAGGTAGTTTTTATTCTGAACTATCAAATCTCCAGCTGAAATTCTCAAAAACTTTATTTTACAGGCCTCCTCTTGCCCATATTTTTCAGATGATATAATTTAAAAGTTAGAGAAGTAATTTCCGCAAGGTCCCATACCTACTGCGTGATGGGGAGCCCAGACCACAGTCTGCCTGTCTGACTTTATAGCCCCTGCTGTCCTCGTGCTGGGGTGCCTGATTGCATGGGAGACACTGAGCTTCCTGGAGTTCCTTCATTTTATGATACTGATTACTGAGAGACACCCCAACATTCACCAGGGGTGAAACACAATCTTCGCTTAAAGTATTATAGTCTCTTTGACTCATTTAAGTAACAGTCTGCACAACAACATAGCAGAAGCTATTGTACTTTCTCTGACCTTGAAATTTGTTGTAAAAGTGACTAATCTTCCATGTGGCCACTGTGCCAGCTACCAAGTTGTCTTTCCAGCCAGTGGAAGTAGGAATGAGAAACTTGCACTTCAGAAAATAGGAATATTTATCATCAGATACAAATAAAAATTAAAATTTTTGCTTAGAATTTTAGGTCCAGAGTTTTGAAAGAACTCCTTTGTTTTATATAATCAAACTTTCTAGATCCACTGGTAATTATTGTTATGTGTAGGGTGCTAATACTTTGTTGATCTCTTTTAGCTACCCCTATCATCTCTGTCCCAGGATAGCAAACTTGTGTATATTCAGCTATTATGGGATAATATCAACCTTCATCAGGAACCAGGAGAACCTTTGTATGTCTCATGGAGGAATTTTAGTAAGTAAAACAATTAAGACATAAAAGACTCAAACTGGAAACAACCCATATATTTTCACAGGTGAATGAATAAACAAATTGTGGTACAGTCCATACAGTAGAATACTATAGACTACTGGGGTAAAAAATGAAGTGAGAGAAACAAATTATTCTGCTTTAAGATTTTTCATGCATTTTTAGTATCTCCAAGAGTCTTTCCATTTTAGATCAAATTGATTTGCTCTTATACTGACCCATTTGACTGTCTCAGGGAGTTGAAGAGTATTTTGTGATTTTTTTCTGTCAAATGCCAATTTTGGTTAGGTATTGGGAAAGTAAATTCTATATACTGGAAGAGTAATTTGGATGTGTTGTTGGTATAGGGTCATAATTTCAATTATATGGATACTAATCTCAAAGATTCTAGCTTCATTTTCAGTCTTATATTTAGAACATGTTTTTACAGGGCATTTAAAGAGGTATCATCCAGTATTCCAAAGTCCTTTGAGTCATTAAGACAGCACCACCCAGTAGATATGTGAGCATATGGTATCAATAGACAGCTGATGGAAGAAACATTATATGACATATTAGTTTGCTAGGGCTACCATAACAGAATACCACAGACTGTGGCTTAAACAACAGAAATTTGTTTCTCACAGTCTAGAGACTGGAAATCAAAGATCAGGATGTCAATAGGTTTGGCTCCCATGGCCTCTCTCCTTGGGTTGCAGATGGCCTTTGCTCTGTGTACACCTGCATCTCTCTGGTGTCCTTTTCTCATAAGGACACGAGTTATATTGGACTAGGGCCCCTCCCTTATGGCCTCATTTAACATTAGTTACCTCTTTAAAGACCCTATCTTCAAATGTAGTCACAGAGGGGGTTAGAGGTTCAACATACTAATTTGGGGGGAACATGATTCAGTTCATAACAGACATGAAAAAATGCTCAATCTCATTATTTAGTGAAATATCCATTTCTTTTGTTAAAAAGGGAAAGTACAAACTTAGTTACATCAGGATGGCAAAAGACTGTTACATCCAATCTTTTTGAGGATATGGAGGAAAAACACTCTGATACACTGTTAGAAGTGAAAATGATACAATTCTAGAGAAGAATGTGGCCTATATTATCCCTATTTAATATATGGATACCCTTTAACTCAGCGATCAGAGTAAGACAGCTCTGTTCTATAGGAGTATGGAAAGTTGTCTGCACAGTGATGCTTACTGTATGATTATTTGTTGTGATAATGAAACGAAGTATGTAAATACCTAACAGGAGAGCTGTGATAAATCTGTATCATGAAATGTGGCCTGAGTCATTTGCATATGGATGGCTGAAAAGGATGTCATGTATCAAGTGGAAAAGGGGCAGGTTTTAGAACAGTATAGATCTTTTCAATTAAAAACAAAAAAACACCGGGGCACGTGGGTGGCTCAGTCGTTAAGCGTCTGCCTTCGGCTCGGGTCATGATCCCAGGGTCCTGGGATCAAGCCCCGCATCGGGCTCCCTGCTCTGCGGGAAGTCTGCTTCTCCCTCTCCCATTCCCCCTGTTTATGTTCCCTCTCTCACTGTGTCTCTCTCTGTCAAATAAATAAATAAAATCTTAAAAAAACAAAACAAAAAAAACACCAAAAATATATATCTGTGTTTTTAATATATGCATATAAAAAGGTCTAAAACCACTATTACCAGTGGCTCCTCAGATGGGAAAGGGAACAGTTCTTTTTTTTTTTTTTTTTAAAGATTTTATTTATTTATTCATGAGAGAGAGAGAGACAGAGAGGCAGAGGGAGAAGCAGGCTCCCAAGGAGCAGGGAGCCCAATGCGGGACTCGATCCCAGGACCCTGGGATCATGACCTGAGCCGAAGGCAGATGCTCAATCATCTGAGCCACCCAGGCGCCCCGGGAACAGTTCACTTTTACTGTTTTGTACTTTTTAAAAAAAATCTATTACTATTTTGTATTAGGATTTTTTTTTTCCAGTTTTAAGTAAAAAAAATATTTTTTCCTTTGAAAATGCTAGTCACAAAATTATGGTTAAATACATTACAAGCTGTTTTTGTTCTTTTGGTTGTTGTTTCAGTTCTGATTTTTTTTTTTTTTTTGTAAACATAAGCAGAGTAACCTTGAAATTTATGCTAGAAAATAAATAGAATTGCGGGCACCTGTATGGCTCAGTCAGTTGAGCATCCGACTCTTGATCTCAGCTTAGATTTTGATCTCGGGGTCATGAGTTCAGGCCCCATGTTGGGCTCCACGCTGGGTATGGAGCCTACTTAAAAAAATTATAGAATTAGAGTTGCTATTTCTTCAGTTATTTTCCTACCTCTCTTGAAATGCACAAGTGTTTCAAAATATTCTGTAATTTGTGACGGGAATAAAAGAGCTCTCAAGAATGGCCTTGTTTCTCAAGAATGAATCGATTTTGGCCGCTTTAAATGAAGAACTGGCATGTAAATGACATCAAAAGACATAAGAATTAAGTGGGTGAGAACTGGAATGATAGTGACTTCCAGTGATTTCTGGAAGAGGAGCTTCAGAGATCCACTTCCCAGCAAAACAACCATAATTGTTTAAAAAAAAAAATTATTAAAAAAAAGGGAGATGAGAAGATAGCAGAGTAGGAGGGTCTTGAGTTCATTTTGTCCCACAGCCAAACCAAGGCAACAGCTACATGTATTGTACTAACTCTGAAAATGACCGAAAGACTGGCAAACCGCGTCTTCCCAAGCTAGTTGTAGAGGAAAGGCCGTGTCAGCAGTTGGGGACCACTCCCAGCACAACTAACCACAAATGGGAGGGGCGTCCCAAACATGGAGGAAGGAGGGAATCAGACCCCACCCCAGGCCCTGGGGACTTGGACTGAGAAGACAAGCCCCTATAACATCTGGCTTTGAAAATCAACAGTGCTGAAGTCCAGGAGAACCCGAGGATGATAGGAAACGGAGTCCCCACCTTTAAAGAACCAGCATGCTCAGTAACTCGCCAGGAACACAGCAAAGCAGCAGCTCGAAAAGTGCCTAGGGTATACGTGAAAGGGGATTTATTGACTAATTTTAAGACATGTACCAAAGGAGCAGGGATCTGCATAGTTCTCTGGAACAAAAGTGCTGGCAGGCACTGTTTGTCTTGCCCTTCCCCAGCCTAGATAGCTAGACACTTGGGGGAGCCAGGCTTGACAGTCTCTGTGTACCTTACCAGCAGTGCCTGCCCCTCCCTGACATTCCCCCCCTCCAAAGTAGCTCCTGCCCTGCCACACCCGAAGGCAGCCCTGGCTGGGAAAGGTGTCCTTCTGAAGTGACTCCTGCCCTAAGGGGCAGCGGTGTAAACCACCCCACACACCAGCATGTCTGCAGTTCCTGCATTCAGGCCTCTTAACTGGCTGCACAGGAAGCAAGCCTTACCCATCAGTGTGCCTGCAGCAGTAGTACAGGCTAATGGCAGCCAGCTGGGCTGAGGGCCAGCCCCACCCACCAGCGGGCTCGTGGTGGCTGCAGCTGACCTCTCAAACCCTGCCCAGTGCACCTGCAGCGGGTTATTGCAGCCAGCTGGGCTGAGGGCCAGCCCCACCCACCAGCATGCCCGAGGCAGTCACAGCTCAGCCACAACAAGAGGACACACGCAGCCCACAAAGGGAAAGCTCTTGGAGTACCTGGTTCTGGTGACTGGGGGGATTGCGCTGTAGGGCACCACAGGACCTCTTCCACACAAGGCCACTACTTTCAGGACCGGGAGAGACAGCTGACCTACCTAATATAGAGAAACACAGAGTTAGACAAAATGAAGAGACAGAGGAATATATCCCAAATGAAAGATTTTTCCTAATCTGAGGAAGGACATAGACACCCAGGTCCAGCAAGCACAGAAAGCCCGTAAGAAGATGAGCCCAAGCAGGCCACACCAAGACACACAATTAAAATGGCAAAATTAAAGCTAGAGGATTTTAAAACAAGAGAAAATAAAACTGTTACATACAAGGGAAACCCCATAAGGCAGCTGATTTCTCAACAGAAACTTCGCATGCCAAAAGGGAGGAGCATGATCAAGTGGTTAAATGAAAAAACCTACAACAAAGAATACTCTGCCGGGCAAGGTTATCATTCAGAATTGAAGGAGAGAGAAGGAGTTTGTCAAAAAGAAAAGTTAAAAGGAATCCATAACTATTAAACAAGCCTTAAAAGAAATGTTAAGTGGAATTTTTTAAGTGGAAAGAGAAGGCCATAAATAGAAGGAAATTATGACAGGATTGTATCTACAAAAATCAGTAAAGGAATACACAAAAAGTAAAATAGGACATTATGGAGGGGGAGTAAACATTTAGTGCTTTAAAAATGTGTCCAAACTTAAGTGACCATTAGCTTAATATAGAATGCTATATACATACAGTGTTATATATGAATTCCATGGTAACCACAAATCACAAACCTATAATAGATACAAAAAATAATAAAGAGAAAGGAATCTAAACATAACACTAAAGAAAGCCCTCAAACTACAAGGAAGAGAGCAAGAGAAGGAAAAGAGAACCACAAAAACAACCAGAAAACAAGTAACAAAATGGCAATAAGTATATACCTATCAATAATAACTTTAAGTGTAAATGGATTAAATGCTCTAGTCAAAAGAGGGGGACAGAATGGATTATGCTGCCTTAGACCTAAAGATATACAGAGAATGAAAGTGAAGGGATGGAAAAAGATACTCCATGCAAATGGAAGCAAACAAAAGCAACTAGGGTAGCAATATTTTTATCAGACAAAAAAATAGACTATAAACAAAGAGTGTAGCAAGAGACAAGGGCCTTATATAATGATAACAGGATCAATCCAAGAATAAGATATAACAGTTGTGAATGTCTACCCAACATAGGAGCACCTAAATATATAAAGAAACTAAATAGATATATGCAGAATATTTCACCTCAAAACACACATTCTTTTCAAGTGCACATGGAACATTGTCCAGGATAAATGTTGGGCTGCAAAACAAATCGTAATAAATTTAAGAAGACTGAAATCCTATCATGCATCTTTCTTGACCACAACAGTGTGAAACTGGAAATCAAGTACAAGGAAAATACTGGAAGAAACAAACAGGTGGAGGCTAACCAACATGCTCTTAAACAAGCAATGGGTCGATGAAGGAAATTAAAAAAAAAAAAAAATACATGGAGGTAAATGAAAATGGAAACACAACAGTCCAAAATCTTCGGGATGCAGCAAAAGCAGTTTTAAGAGGGAAGTTTACAGCGCCACAGGCCTATGTCAAAAGACCACAAAAACCTCAAACTACTAACATCTAAAGGAACTAGAAAAAGAACAAAGCTCAAAGTTAAAAGGAAGGAAATAATAAAGGTAGAAAAGATCAATGAAACCAAGAGCTGGTTTCTTGAAAAGGTAAACAAAATTGATAAACCTTTAGCCAGACTCATTAAGAAAAAAAGAGATCTCAAATAAGATCAGAAATGAAAGAGTAGAAATAACAACTAACACCACAGAAATAGAGGATTATAATAATACTGTGAAAACTTATATCCAGCAAATTGTACCTAGAAGAAATGGGTAAATTCCTAGAAACATAGTCTTCCAAAACTGAATGAGAAATAGAAAATCTGAGCAGACTGATCACTAGTAATGCAATTGAATCAGTAATCAAAAAACTCCCCAACAAGCAAAAATCCAGGACCAGATGACTTCACCTGTGAATTCTGTCAAACATTTAAGAGTTAATACCTGGTCTTTTTAAGCTATTCCAAAAAATACAGGAGGAAGGAAAACTTCCAGATTCATTCCACAAGGCCAGCATTACCCTGATACCAAAACCAGATAAAGACACTACCAAAAAGAAAACTACTGGCCAATGTCCCTGATGAACATAAATGCAGAAATCCTTAATAAAATATTAGCAAACCAAATTCAACAATATATTAAAAGGATCATTTACCATAAGTAAGATTTTATTCCAGGGATGCAACAATGGTTCTATATTCCCAAATGAATTAATGTGATTAATAAAAGGATAAAAACCATGTGATGATCATCTCATTAGGTGCTGAAAAAGCATTTGACAAAGTAGAACATCCAGTCATGATAAAAAAAATCTCAACAAAGTAGGTTTAGAGGGAACATACCTCAACATAATAAAAACCATATATGAAAAACCCACAGCTAACATTATACTCAGTGGTGAAAACTGAAAACTTTTCCTCTAAGGTCAGGAACAAGACAAGGATGTCTACCCTTACGACTTTTATTCACCATAGTACTGGAAATTGTAGCCACAGCAGTCAGACAAGAAATAGAAGATTCCAAATTTGAAAGGAGCAAGTAAAACTTTTACTATTTGAAGATGACATAGTATATATAGAAAACCTGCAAGACTTCACCAAAAAACTATTATAATTCAGTAAATTTATGTAAGTAATAGCCAGAAATTGATAGCATTTCTATACACTAAAAACAATGTAGCAGGAAGAGAAATTAAGAAAACATTTCTATATAGAATTGTACCAGAAAGGATAAAATACCAAGGAATACATTTAACAAAGTAGGTAAAAGACCTATACTCTGAAAACTGGGATAGTGATGAAAGAAATTGAAGATAAACAAATGGAAAGATATAACATGTTCGTGGATTGGAAGAACTAGTATCATTAAAATGTCCACACTACCCAAAGCAATATACAGATTCAATGCAACCCAAATACCAATAGCATTTTTCACAGAATTAGAACAAGTTATCATAAATTGTATGGAACTAAAAAAGATCCCAAATAGACAAAATAATTTTGAGAAAGAGGAACAAAGCTGGAAGTTCACAATCCCAGATTTCAAGATACACTACACAATCAAAATAGTATGGTACTGGCACTAAAATAGTTATATAGATCAATGAAACAGAATACAGAGCCCAGAAATAAATCCACGCTTATATGGCCAGTTACTCTTATGACAAAAGAGGCAAGAGATACATAATGGAGAAAAAGTCTTTTCAACAAATAGTGCTGGGAAAATTAGATAGCTACAGGCAAGAGCATGAAACCGGGCCACTTTCTTAGACCCTAGACAAAAATAAACTCAAAACGATTTAAAGACCTAAATGTGATACCTAAAATCTAAAACTCCAAAAGAAAACTTAGGCAGTAATCTCTTGGACTTCAGCAAAAGCAACATTTATGGGTATGTCTCCTCAGGCTGGGGAAACCAAAGCAAAAATGAACTGTTGGGACTACATCAAAATAAAAAGAGGTTGCACAGCAAAGGAAACCATCAACAAAATGAAAAGGCAGTCTGCTGAATGGGAGAATAAGTTTGCAAATGATACATTTGGTAAGGGGTTATTACCCAAAATATATAGAGAACTGACATAAAAACAACAAACAATCCAATTAAAAAATTGGCAGATCACCTGAAAAGACATTTTGCTAAAGAAGACATTCAGATGGCCAAGAGACACACAAAAAGGTGCTCAAAATCACTAATCATCAGGGAAATTAGAATCAGAACCACAATGAACCTCACACCAGTCAGAATGGCTAATATCAAAAAGAGAAAGAACAGGTGTTGGTGAGGATGTAGAGAAATGGGAACCCTTGTGCACTGTTGGTGGGACTGTAAATTGGTGCAGCCACTGTGGAAAACGGTATGGAGTTTCTCAAAAAATTAAATCTAGAACTACCATATGATCCAGTAACTCCACTACTGGGTAACTGCCCAAAGAAAACAAAAACACTAGTTCAAAAGATATATGCACCCCTGTGTTTGCTGTATTAATAGTAGCCAAGATATGGAAGTATCCTAAGTGTCCATCAACAGATAGGAATTGATAAAGAAGATAGAGGTGTGTGGAATATTATATAATGGAATATTACTCAGCCATTAAAAATAAGATCTTGCCATTTGCAGTATCATGGATGGACGTTGAGGGCATTATGCTAAGTGAAATAAGTTAGAGAAAGACAAATACTATATGATTTCACTTATTACATGTGGAATCCAGGAAAAAAAAAAAAACCCAACCAGAAACAGGCCTAAATCAGAGAACAAACTGGTAGTTGCCAGAGGGGAGGGTTGTGAGGAATGAACACAATAGGTGGAGGGGATTAAGAGAGAGAAACTTCCAGTTATATAATAAAATCACAGAGATGAGAACTACAGCACAGATAACATAGTAATGTTTTATGGTGACACATGGTGACTATACACTTACTGTGATGAGCTACAGAATTGCCAAATCACTGTGTTATACACCTGAAACTAATATGACATTGTATGTCAACTATACTTCAACAGTTTTTTATGTTTTTTGAGCATGAGTAGGGATAGGGAGGGACAGAGGGAGAGAGAAGGAATCCTAAGGGGGAGGCTCCACGCCAATTGCCCAATTGCAGAGCCCAATGCGGCGTTCAATCTCATGACCCTGAGATCATGACCTGAGCCAAAATCAAGAGCCATAAGCTCAACTGACTGAGCCAGGCAGGCTCCCCTCAACAATAAAAAAATTTTTTTAAAGGTTTTATTTATTTATTTGACACGTAGAGAGAGAGAGAGAGAGCACAAGCAGGGGGAGGGGCAGGGAGAAGGAGAAGCAGACTCCCTGCTGAGCAAGGAGCCCGATGCGGGACTCGATCCCAGGACTCTGGGATCATGACCTGAGCCGAAGGCAGACGCTTAACCGACTGAGCCACCCAGGTGCCCCAACAGTAAAAATTTTTAGAAAGTAATGTCTAAGGGTATAGAGAAAATAAAACATTTGTTCAAGAAAATATACTAAATTTCAGTAAAGCCAGGAAATTTCTGTGGCGTTTGAGCTACCATATTGTTCTCTCCCACCCCCAGCTCCCAGCCAAGGGCTACAGCATCTCTCCGGGAAAGACAGGCTGCCAGTAGTTCTCAGTCTCCCAGCTTTGTATAGCCGAGGCTAAATTCCAGGAGAGCTGGAGGCTCACTTCCTCTGCTCTGCACCCATTCATTTCTACCCCGGCTTCAGGAAGCCAAGAATACTGGGGCCTCAGTTCTCAGTGCATCTTGCTCATAGGGCAGAGGTTTTATGCCAGGAGAGGCAAGCTGACAAAACCAGAGTCAACTGTCCCTGCCCAGTCCCCTATTCACAAAGCAGGAGTGTCATTCCAAGAGAAGGGCCACTGTGCCCAAACCCAGCTACAGAGCAGTGGCTCAGAAATTTTGCCCAAGGGAAGAAGCAGGCCATCAGAACATTGAGCTCTAAAACCCTCCCCAAAGGAAATGACTTTATTTGGAACAGAGCGTGGAGAAATTCAAGCATGAGAGCACTCTTGGAAATAGTGGGAGATTTGTTGAGAAGGCCAGTGTTATGCAGATAGGAAAAAAAAAAAGACCTCATAAGAAAACTAAAAATCTGTATGAATATCGATATAAAAATCTTCAACAAAATGCTACCAGCCTGAATCCCATCAATACAGAAAAAGGACTGTACATCATGACTTAAGTGCAATTTATCCCAGGCATGCAGTGTTGGTTTAGTATTTGAAAATCAGGTAATGTAATATACCATACCAATAGAATAAAGGACAAAAATCAGTCATCCTTTGTTAAAAACACTCAACAAGTTAGGAATGGAAACAAACTTCTTTAGCCTAATTATGAGCATCTGTGAAAACCCACAGTTGACATCATAATTAATGGTGAAAGACTGAATACTTTATCCCTAAGTACAGGAACAAAACAAGGATGTCTTTTTTTCCTCAGTTTGTTCAGCATTGTGCTGGAAGTTCTTACAGTAGTGCAATTAGGCAAGAAAATAAGACATCCAAATTGGAAAGGAGGAAGTAAAACTGTATTTGTAGATTATGTGATCTAACAGATAAAAATTCCAAGGAGAACACACACTATATGGAACTAATAACTTCAGCAAAATTGCAGTATATTGGATGGAGGGGATCGGGTAACTGGTGATGGGCATTAAGGAGGGCATGTGAGGGGCGCCTGGGTGGCTCAGTTGGTTAAGCGACTCCCTTCGGCTCAGGTCATGATCCTGGAGTCCCGGGATCGAGTCCCATATCGGGCTCCCTGCTCGGCGGGGAGTCTGCTTCTCCCTCTGACCCTCCCCCCTCTCATGTGCTCTCTGTCTCTCTCATTCTGTCTGTCTCAAATAAATAAATAAAATCTTGAAAAAAAAAAAAAAAGGGAGGGCATTTGATGTGATGAGCACTGGGTGTTATATGCAACTAATGAGTCATCGAACACTACACCAAAAACTAATGATGTACTATATGCTGGCTAATTGAATGAAAATGAAATAAATTAACTATTTCCGTATACTTTCAATGAATAATCCAAAAATAATATAATTCCATTTACAATAGCATTAAAAAGAATAAAATAGAGGGGTGCCTGGGTGGCTCAGTTGGTTGAGCTCTTGATTTCTTCAGCTCAGATCATGATCTCAGGGTTCTGGGATCAGCCCCACATGCGGCTCGATGCTCAGCAGGGAGTCTGTTTGAGGATTTCTCTCCCTCTCCCTCTGCCCCTCCCCTGCTTGCACACTCTGTCTCTAAAATAAAATCTTAAAAAAAGAATAAAATAGGAATAAATAAAGCAGAAGGACAAAGCTAGAGAAGACCTAAATAAATGGTAAGAAATTCCATGTTTATAGATTGGAAGATTTAATATTAAGATGGCAGTGCAGTATTTCCAGATTGAGCTACAGATCCAACACAATCTCTACCAAAAATCAGGGTGGCTTTTTTTATAGAAATTGACAATCCTATCCTAAAACTCATATGGATAAGGGACCCAGAATAGCCCAATCTTGAAAAAGAACAAAGTTGTAATAAAGAAAGTGGGATATTGGGGTACCTGGGTGGCTTAGTTGGTTAAATGTCCGACTCTTGATTTTGGCTCAGGTCATCTCACGGTCCTGAGATTGAGCCCAACGTTGGGGTCTGCACTGGAGTGTGGAGCCTGCTTGGGATTCTCTCCCCCTCTCCCTCTGCCCCTCCCTGCTGGCACTTTCTCTTTCTCTTTAAAAAAAGAAAAAAAAAAAAGTGGGATACTGGCATAGGGAGATTACTATCTATCTATCTATCTATCTATCTATCTATCTATCTATCTATCTATCTATGTCAATAGAATAGAGCTGAGTTTCCAGAAATAAACTCTCATATGTATAGTCATTTGTCTTTCAACAAGAGTGCCAAGACCATTCAGTGGATAAAGAATAGTGTTTTTAATAAATGGTGCTGGGACAACTGGAGCATCATGCAAAAAAACAAAAAAACCCCGAAGTTGGAGCACCTCCTCATATTATACATAAAAATGAACTCAAAATGGATCATAGATCTAAATGTAAAAGCAGAAGAACTCTTAGAAGAAAACATAGTAAACATTCCTGACCTTGTATAGGACAGACCTTCTTAGATACAACACCACCAAAAGCACAAGTGAGAAAAGAAAAAGTACATAAATTGGACTTAATCAAAATAAAAACTTCTGTGCTGAAAAATAAACCATCAAAAAAAAAAAAACAAACATGTTAACGCATAGAAGGGGGGAAAGATAAGTGCAAATGATAAAACTTAAAAAAGATTTATACTCAAAATGTATAAAGAACTCTTACGACTCAGCAATAAGACAACCCATTTAAAAAATGGGCAAAGGATCTGTTTTAGTCCATTCTGGCTGCTATAACAAAATACCACAGACTGGGTAGCTTATTAATAACAGAAATGTATTTCTCACAGTTCTGCAGGCTGGAAGTCCAAGATCATGGTGCCAGCATGGCAGTTCGGGGCCCTCTTCCAGGTTGCAGACTTCTCATTATATCCTTTCATATAGCAGAAGGGATGAGGGAACTCTGGTAACCCGTCCCCCCCTCCTTTTTTTAACAGGTACTAACCCATTTATGAGGACTCTGCCCAACCAAGAGTTGGATGCTTAACTGACTGAGCCACCCAGGCGCTCCGATTTTGTGTATTTTTAAAGTTAGCATGATTAAATCCCAATATAGACTCAAGCACTTTAGTAATTTATGAAATCTATATAAATATTTCTTAATTCTGGAATTACCCTTGTATCAATTAGGATTATACTCTGCTATATTTAATAGCAAATAACAGAAGCTTAAACAGGTAAAGATTATTCTTTCACATAAATAAGTTATGAAATAGACACTCCAGGACTGGGAGGCACCTCCTGTCATCAGCGACCCAGGCTCCTGGTGTTGTGTCTCACTTTTCCATCAGTTGCTTCATGGTGGTAACAAGATTGCTGCTAGAGTACAAGCTATCACATCCCAGCCTAAAGAAGGAACCCCTGTGTTCAGGGAAAAGGCAAAGGGACAGGACTTTACTATCCAAAGAAAGCAGGAAAAATATTTTTTAGCTGGTCACATTGACACATAATTTTACTGGTAAGGGGGAGGCAATGTTGAATAAAAGACTAAAAATGCTACAACTCTGGGGAAAAAACTTTTTTTTTTTTTTAATAATTAGAGTATTCTTGTGTTCTTATTATTAGATTCTGAAAAGAAATTGTCTCTCCTATCAGAGGAACAAGAAGCCACAAGCACTTTAGTAGAAACCATCAGGCAGAGTATTCAACATAATGATGTTCTTAAACCCATCAATCTACTTTCACAGCTAATAAAGCCAGACATGAAAAGACAAAGGTAAGAATCCAGTTTTTGCTTCATGCCACTCAAGATAATTTCATGTTTAAGTATTATTTTTAAAATATCTCTAGTTGTAAATGTTCATACTTGAGCAAACATTACAAAAGTTGTGTGTGGAGGAATAAATTTTAGGAAGTCATTCATTCATGTCTAAAATGTAGAGTCTTTGGGAAACATTACTGCTATTCACCGGAAATCTCTATGAATTTGTTAGCGGTGACGTTATACATATGTACTGCTTGTTCAGGCCCTGTCATACCTGCACGTCTTATCTTTTATTTTCTTGTGGGACATTAAAAAAAACCTGTTTAGGAATAGAAACAATTTAGGAAAGCAATGGAAACAGTAAATTACAAAGGATATGGAGCTTTCCTGATCCTCTTACTATTGTCCGCTAACAGGCTTAGATCAGTACTCATCCCAGTCTCAATATAAGTGAATTTTGCAGGGGAGACTTCAGAAAAGGTGGCATAATAAATGCTACCAAATACTAACAGTTTCCAGATCCTCTACAAGTTTCTTTGGTCATGGCATCTTTGAAGATAACCTCAGAAGTGGTAGAGCATGAACTGATGATGAAAATGAATGGATCCTTTTGTAATCTCAACAGTTGAGATACAGATGACCTTCACAGTCTAAAGAGCAGCTAGTTTCAAGCATCTGTAGTTTAAATAAAGCAAGGAAGGAAAATGAGAGATGATATGTTACGACTTCTGAAGCTTCTAAACAAAGCTACATATGAAGCATTATCAGAATTAGCATTACTCTCTAATTTTTTTTCTATGTTAAGTACTTGGAAATCAGTTCATTTCTTTAGCTTTCCTTCATTTTTAACTGAGCTATGAAGCTCATTTTTAAGGTTTAGTTTGTGAAACTTTTATGTTCACAAACCAAATATAGTTTATCCTTTATCATTGGATTAAATAGTAAAGAGACCACACCACTTTTCAGTGTCCAAGGGTTTTAGACCCCTAACTTACTTAAAAATTAATCTGAGACTCTGCTTTTGCAAATTTTAATTGCAAAGTAGAGTTAAAACAGTTACCTATTATAGTTGACCCTTGAATGACCCCCCCCATGCAACTGATAATCTGTGTATAATTTTTGACTACCCTGAAACTTAATAGCTGTTGACCAGAAGTCCTAACAATAACAAATAGCTAACACATTTTGTATGTTGTATTATATAACAGATTCTTACAATAAAGTTACTAGAGAAAATACCTTTACAGTACTCGCTGTATTGGGGAAAAAAAAACCAACACACAGGTGGACCCATGAAATTCAATCCCATGTTGTCCAAGGTCAACTGTATTTATATTGTTAAAATGTTATAAAGTTAAAATAAGCCATTTAAAGTGGTTTTTAGTGTTTAGTCTTATGTCCATAACTTTTTCATTTGAAATAGAAATCCAAAGTAAGTTGCAAAGAGTAGCACAGAATTCACCGTACTTTTCACCCAACTTCCCCTAAAGGTGACTTCTAACTGTAGTGTTAGATCAAAACCACGACACGGACGTGGATACATTACTGTTAACTATAAAATGTAATCATTTTTCACCATTTTACAAAACCTTCATGTGTGTATTTTTATGCTCTGTGCCCATTAACTTTAAAAACATTTGTTTTATAGGAGTTTATACCGAGAAATCCTCTTCTTATCATTAGTATCTCTTGGAAGAGAGAATATTGATATTGGTAAGTTGGTTACTTAAGTATTACTAAAGGAGGTTCTTTCATTTTCTGAAGTAATTTACAAAGTTGTAATTGGCATGCTGCCCTTACCTTTCCAAGGATTTCTACTTTTAAATAGTTTATAGATATATATGAAATTACCATTTTTCAGCCTATGACTTTTTAACAAATTGTAACTGCATTTTTGAAAATGTCTTTCAGAGGCTTTTGACAATGAATATGGACTTGCATACAATAATCTATCTTCAGAGATTCTTGAAAAGTTGCAGAAGATTGATGCTCCACCAAGTATCAGTATGGAATGGTGCAGGAAGTGTTTTGGAGCGCCTCTCATTTAAGTAAGATGTTCACTAGATTTTTGACAAAGCTTGAGGGAATAGATTCACTTGGCAAACACTGAAGGTTTGTTCCAAATGCTAACAATTGATGAAAGGGAAATGAAGTTAACTCTTGGGGCAGTATGTAATGACATGTAATTCATATGGAATCATCTCACAACGTAAAAATGTCATAAAAATGCCCCAGGGTTAATATCTGAAGGTTTGCAACTTCTGAGTGGTTCATCTGCCTCTGCTTGAGAACGGTTTTTGGATTTCTCATTATATGTAGTTTGATAATGCAAAACTATATTCATTCTTGGCATTTTGTTTATATTTGAAGTTGTTGGTCTTGGGGAATAGCAGTTTAATGTAAACTTGCCTAACCCCAAAACAAATGAAATCTCAATTATAAGGGCAACTATTTGTGTATGTGTGTATATATGTGTGGCTGTGTAGGTATTTGTATGTACAGCCATATGATATTTATTAAAATTCTTAGACTGCGTGTTGCAATACAATTTTCTGAAAGGGGTCTGCAACTATTAAATGACTACAACTAAACTCAGCTGTAGTCATTAATCAAAATTACCTTAAAGTCTGATGACAGCCTTGCCTGTATTTCTTCATCCATATTATGTATTCTCTTCCTTAGTGGATTTTATCTTGAATATCCAAGATACTTTCATCCTCTTCCCAAATACCGTGTTAATTTGCAACAGCTTTAAGATTGGAAATAAATGAGCCAATCATATAGTTTAAATGAAATTAAATCACCCTCATAATTTACAAAATTGGAACATGCTTAAAATGCTCATGTTGATTTTTTTGTACCTGAAATTGTTCAGGTACATAAACTGTTGCTATTGGTCACTTTTAAAAACCTGTGGGATAAACTTGCACTGCATACAGAAATTTTATTCTTATATATTTAATTTGTATGCTTATTATTTGTGCATTTGTAAATAGTTTTTTGGGATGGATCAATTGAGTCTTAAAATGTTAAAAGCTTCTTGAGCTTCTTGCCAGTAGGTTCAAGAAAATCATGACCTCACCTGCCTGCCATTTATCATGCCTTTCATTAAAAACAGCCCTTATGAACAGTTAAGTTTGCCTTAACTCTCGCCAAGGTTTAAAAAACCAATGGTTATGTGTGCTTTTACAGTAATTATGCAGATGACTAAATCAGTTGATAAAAATATTTCCAGGTGGTACAGTTAACAGCCCAAATCTCCCACCTGGTGTAATCTTTTAAAAATTGTTACTGTACCAGTCTTTCAACATTTCAGGGCTAATCTAACCTATGCAGATTTCATTTCAATTTATTATGAAATTAGAGTGAAAGAACTTGTCAGAAATTATGTACAACTCTCA